CACTAATAATAATAATAGTAATAATAATAATAATAATAATAATAATAATACTATTATTATTATCACACCAATATCCCACGCCTATGGTAATCCCTTTCCTCTCCATTCCAACTTTTCTAATATCTCCTTGCTACCCCTTCATATTTCCTTCCTCACGGTTTCTATCGTGACTTTTCATATTTCCATTCTAACTTCCCAATAACCCTTTCACCTCTTATTTTACTTATTCCAACCACTAATATTCCCAATAATAATTCTAATAATAATAATTATAATAATCATTATAATAATAATAATAATATAATATAATATAATACTATTATAATATTATAGTAATATTCAACATAATAATAATAATAATAGTGATACACCCAACAATAATTATAATTATAATAATAATAATATTATCACACCAATAATAATAATAATATTAATAAAAATAATATAATAATAATATAATAATACTAATATTATTATTTCACCAAAATAATAATAATATTAATAATAGTAACAAATATAATAAATATAATAATAATAATAACACCCCCACCAATGTTACTATTATTTTTATATTACTATATTTCACACCAAAATATCACCAATAGTCCTCCCACATTAGGGACACCCACCAAACATCATCAAATACACCCCCACCAAAGGGCACACCAACATATAATTTTTAAAATAATAATAAAGTGACTAAATAATTAAAATGAGTGTTACAAACTACCCAAAACTTCAAAAGTCCTCGACGACATCCACGGCTAAACCTGGTCATCTGTACGTTACCCACGTGGAGGCAACATTCAAACAGGCAGGGTGAGTAAAACGATTCATAATAATCAATATAGTAATCAATATATAAAATAGCGTCATTTTCATATTCAACATCATAATAATCATCAAGGAACATCAAAGCCACAACATTATAAATTACATCAAAATGTCACATAAATGCAAATGCAACAAGACTCATGCATGTGGTACCAATCAACAAAATTCGATGGACACTGGGCCATCAACCCTTCATAGATCCACAACAGTAGGATCGACTCTACTCGAGAACTGGAGCACAACAAAATACCTCACATCTGCATAATGGGATTGAAGCCACAAAAATCAAGGTCCTGAACCAAAGTCCGGATGCATATGAATGTATGATGCACACGTTAATATCATACTCATAATAATCTCATTAGGTACATCATCATTCATCAAAATCATCATAATAATCATATCATCATAATTTCATCAAAACTCATGAAATCAACATCATAAATCCTCAATATTAACCATAGGAATCTTCATATAATCATGTATTAATCACATAGAAATCATAGTTGTACTCATGGTGATTCATCAAAGAAATCACAACATCAAAACATCACTGCACAAGATCATAATTCACGAAACTCTGCTACATTCGCTATCAAGATCGCTGTGCGAATCTGGGGTGATTATTCGTCGTGTGAAGCATTCTTTGCTGTGCGAACTCGTGATTACAGCAAATCGCTGTTACGCACCAGCACCAAAACCAGACCAAAAAACTCTACGGTTTCCTTCCCCAATGCCCCAAAAACATCTCTAAATCATTCCTAAGGTATTAGGACGATAAAGGCACAAAATCTACGACTTATTAGGCTAATCCCGTATCATATTTACGCCTCCAATTCCCACAGTTTCCTACCAACTACCCCATAGTCATTAGAGTTATCACAAATCACTTATCCTAAGGGTTAAACAATCTCAACAACAGATTTTGGCCACGAAGGCCTACTTTCCCTTAAACCCAAATCGACCTCAAACCTATCAGACCATCAGTTCAAATCCCGATGCGGTAAAAACCTCAATAATAAACTTTGGCCACGAAGGCCTAATTTCCTTTGCTCTCAAATCATCCCCAAACCCTTTAAACATCAGCTTTAAATACATTGAATCACATATTGAAAACAATGAAGGAAATACTCCACATACCTTAATTGCCGACTCTAAGCCTTTCTCCTTGATTCTTGGAAACCTTGTGAAGCTTTTGCCTCAATCCTCTTCCTTAGAGCTCTGGCCTCTATTTCTTCCCTTTTCACGGTCTAACAAGAATGAATTCTAATTTTCTCAAAATTCCTTTTTGTTGAACCTAATTTTGGACCATAAAATTGGGCTTTCCAACTTCACCCTCACTAACTCCTCCTCAAATGTCCATTTTACCCTTAACTCACTTATATTTATTCAAATTAATAATAATACCAATATATTCATATTATATACTATTATTTAAATAAATACTCAAAACTCATAATTCCCAATGTTCACACTAATCACTGAAAATCACCGAAAATGCGAATATTCATATTTAATAAATTAAATAAATATTCCAAGAATTTTGGGGTGTTACATGTTACAAATGATATGTCATTGTCATGTTGTGTCCTTGTGTGTTGCTTTTTCTTTCTAGCTTGTGTTGTTTGACTTTGGTGTCCCTCATTTTTATTTTGTTATGGTTTGCTACTTGCTTTTTGTTTGTTCGAACATATGTTTAACATGTTTAATGGTTGTACTATGTGTGACTTATATATCTCTTATGCATGTTATTTTGTGATTTATTAAGCTTTTTTCTCTTTAAATATGTGTTGTATGTGAGTGCACCTCTTATTATTTGCAATTACATATGTGTAGTATAGATTATGTATGAACTGTGCCTCTACATGATGCTTCTAAGAGATTACTTTTTCTATTTTTGATGTTGTCAAAAAGGGAGAAGATTATGAAGAGGATAATGCATAAATTCATGGGGAATTATTGAGGATTATGCACAACTTCAGGGGGAGCTATTCAGTGTACCGAAGAAAAACACAATGGCTATAAGATTCAAGTTTTGCCATCATAAAAAAAAGGGAGTATGTGAGTGCATTCTTCAATTTTGCCATGTTTTGAACGATGTCAAAACTTGGAGTATGACTTAGCGTTTTTGTATATTGGACAGTATCAACCAAAGTTTAGAAGTGCATTGAACCATTTTAGCCTTAGGATACATAATAATATTTTTAAAAAGACTTAGGCATGCCATACACATCAAAAACCAAGTTATATGTGTAAACAGAGCTACATAGGTCGACCTATATGAGCTCAGGCCGACCCATAGAAGCTTTTGCTTCAGTACAGGCCGACACAAACAATTACATGCCAGCTATCACACATCAATATTAAAGCATGTGGGTTCTGTCTATAAGTCACCTCATTCAGGCTAACCTGAACACCTTGACAGGTCGACCTATTGCTTTCATAGGCCGACACGTATCCTTTAAAAACTCAAAATTTGTTTTGCATCTTATTGTTTCTTGCAACTTTTTTGCCTAATTCCACCTACACATATATATACTCATACATGCACCTTCTTCTAGCAAGGTACTAGTCAATTACCTAAACGAAACCAGATTATAAAGCATTCTCATTATCTTCTACCTCTCTTCTATGCGTACACGCAATTGAACTACACATAATCATTTTTTGATTTGGTAGTCATCTAGATTAAGGTTGATAACTCCAATTAGGTTGATGTAACTGAGAATATTGGGTTGGGATCTTTGTGTGTTTCAAATAAGAAAACCAAGGTAGGATTTTCCTTCAAGATCAGTGTGATTTGAAGGTTTTGGACAAGATCATGTCAACACGGATTCGACCGAGTGAAGGCCTTGGGACAATGTTGATTCCTTGTAAAGGAGTAGCGTGAAATGGTGAATCGTGTTCGGGAATCTTGGATTCAACAAGTACATGCTCGGGATAATCAGAGGGTTGTAGCCACATTGTTGGTGACTTGACCAAGCTTTGATCAAGGGTTTGGAGGTGACTGAATCAGCAATAAACCATAGGGTTTGTAGGGTTATAGTTCTTCACCTCTTGTATAAATATTTTTGCAAAGATAAGGTTAATTTCAAGTATCTCAATTCGATTTCGGATTGAGGGACGATGTACCTATAGCGAGGCTGATTGTGGAACTATCTAAAAAAATCTTTGTGTCTCGTTATCACTTTATTTCTCTTTAATTGTTGTTCTTGCAAATTACCAATTTCATTATTGTGTTGATTAATTCAATTGGAAATTATTTTCAACTATTTTTTTAAAAGTGTTGTTGTTGATATAATCACAATCACTTTGATTGTGATTGACTTTTAACATCAACGAAACAAATAGAATTTCCAAATGTGATCAACCGCACACAAAGTGTTCGATAAATTGTCTTTGAATATTTTTATCGCTTTGTGTTCATTGGAAATAAGTTTTACGAATAGCTTTGCATTTTATTGATCCATGAATTAACCCTTGTTGAACCATTTGTGTTCATTATCATTTCATAAGTTTTCATTACGCATATAGGTTCAATTAGACGATTTGATTCGAGTTGTTTCTATTGTGCCATACATTTTTTAAAACAATTTTTTGCCAAGAAATTTGTGATACATTTTTTAAAACAATTTTTTGCCAAGAAATTTGTGATCCGTAACAAACACAAATAAATAATAAAAAACAATTAATTTTCTTTGATTTTTGTAATTTTATTTTATTTCTACTTTTCACATTTTTCTAATTGATTGTTGATTATTGATGAAATTGATCAATAGTAAAGGGATGATACAATAATTTATTTTATCTATATATTATTCTCAGACATCATCTTCGTTTTATTTCACAAAAATTATATTCAATTACTATAGTAACACAAATTTAATGACAAATTTAGGAGTTATAAAATCCACTTTGATATTATCATCAAAGACACTCTTAATCAACACACAATTCTATATTAATATAATTATTTCTAAGTAGTAATGTATTACATATACCTCTCATTTAAAATAATTATTCATTAGTTAATTTATTTTATTATGAGATTTGTACACTAATTATAGCTCATATATTATAACATTTAATATTACAGATAAGAATAAAATATCTCCCCCGCCCCCTATGGGCAATGAGCTGGACGATTTCTAGTTTACATTTTTATTCTAATCCTTTTCCCTTTTATTATCATTGCCTTCATCTTCATGATCTGCCTCTTCAATGGCTTTGGTAACTTCCCTAAGAATAAGCTTTAATAGCCTCTCATAAGATGAAATTGTAGATTCAAGCATATCAATGGCTCTTCCTTGGTCATGAACGGCCATATCCATCACATTTTCAAGCTCTTTAATTTTAATCCAAGTTCTAATCATCTCTTCATCACATAACCTAGAAGAACTAATTAAGCCATTATTAACACCTTCACCGCCCTCATTTTTCTCTATAGTATTAGTCCTTTTGACCACTATCATATCACTAATGCTTCCTAATATTTGAGCATTCCCCAAAATCATAATGACTTCACCTTCCTCAACATCCCACATCCAAACACTTCCATTTTTTGAAGCAGACACCAAATTTCTCCCTTTATTCACCAAAACCAAAGACACAATTGATCCATCATGGTTTTTTGTTTTACTACCCCAATTAACCAATTCATAACCTTTTCCTTTTTCCAACATTTTTATGCTCCCAACCTTCATCAACCCTTTATAAATAAACCCATCTAAACCAGCAGCATAGAAACCCGACTCTGTTGAATCCATAACAAACCCAGAAATGGAACATGGGAATGTCAGAGTTCGAATTAGAGTTATCTCGTTTGATAAACTCCAAAACTTACATGTGCAGTCCATCGAACATGAAACAAATGTACAAGTATGAATCCCAATTCCAGTGTTGAAACTTGTCACTGAATCAGAATGTGCCTTCCATTTGTGTAAGATTGGGTCACTACATGAAGATGAACCATCCAGAAGCATAAAAGATGGGATCACAACAATCGTGCCATCATTATAACCTAAAATTAAGAGGTATAATATTAACTTGATGATATAGGACACAATATTCTCACAGTAAGATAGGCATATTACAATAGCCATGTTATATCGCACTTATTCTCACCGTAAAATAATAAAATTACCTGAAATCAGTAGCGACCCATCATTACTGAGGTGTAGACTGGAAACAGGTTTCGAGTAAGGAGTAAATGAGGTGATGATATCTCTAGACTGAAGTGGCATGGAATGGATACTCCCCGACACGCCACCTGCAAAAAGAAAATCACCATTCGAACTGGTTGTAAGTGGAATGATGGGTTCCGGGAGAGGGATGTTTTGGAAGACTGTTGGAGTGTCCCAATTGTAGATGTGGATTGAGCCTGGACCTTTGTCTGAAGACACATGGGAAGTTGCAATGAGTTTGTTTCTTATCCCCGCGAGGCCGTGACAAGGTGATCGGCTTCCCGTGAACTGAGCGAGAATGGTGCCTGTGGAAGCCTCAAATGCTACCATGGGGCCATCCCTAGAACCAGTTAGGATCACTTCATGCACCATTGTGAGGAAAAGGTGATCGATTGTGTGAGAAAATGAAGAGAAAACAAAAAGGATCTTTAGACTTCACTTAGCAATTTTAATGTTAAAAGCAATTACAAAAATTCTAGGCATAAATGTGTAGATATCTCTTGAAGAAATAACAATGATATTTATATTGAAGTTTTATTAAATATTAAATGATATTTTCCAATAAAGTTAAATAACATACGGGTCATATAATCATATCTCATTATAATTGTAATTAAAAATATTTAAAAATATATTTACACAATGTTATTTGATTGGATGACTCAACAATATATTTATATTTTTATTATTATAAATAAAATATAATTTTCGTCAACGCGCTATTTATTGTTTTTAATGGATTATACAACAATGCTACATAAAATAACATTAATTGATTTTATTTAGTACAATGAACATAATTAATTTAAATTTTTGACAAAAGGTGAAAAGAGAAATGCATTGTATAATTTGTAATTAAAATATATAAAATAATCTTTTTGTTAAAATTTTCATAAATTTCATGTAACTCAAAATAATATAAGTCAAGAATTATATTGTTTAAACATACTTTTATATGTGATAATGATCTTTAAGGAAGTAAAAAAAACTATCATAAGAGAAATAAATAGACTGATACGATAACTCGGTGATGTGGAATTAAGAATTTGCACATATCTTTATTTAAGAGAAAAGTACACATGTATAATTATTTAACGAAAAAGTATGGATTAATTTCTAAACATATTTTGATGATCGACTAAATATGATCAAATGTGCAAACATCATCAAAGAATGAGTTTGAACCAAATACAGTTGTACTTGCTAAGAGTACAATACGTGACAACCCATAGTGATTAAGAGATGTCAGAAGTTTTAAGGTTGTTGTATGATTGAGAGTTAGCTTACATAGGAGGTAAAAAGCTATGTATATGTGGTTTTTCTTGTGAGAATCAGATTGTCCCTCTCAACTCTAGGATTGAGAATTTATACTTGTGTTAGGGTCTGGATCCGATGCCTCGTAGGAATAAAAAACACTTCTGAGAAAGTGGTAGGAGTGAATAGATAATCTCCCTTATTCAGGGAAGTGTAGTTTGTTTCCACGACTTCCTCTTTGTCATTGTGAACTAGAAACATGTCATCCCCATAATCATACACTTAAAGAAAATTATAGAGGATCCGAGCGAAGTATGTGAGGAAAGGACATCCCATCCAAGAAACAGGCGCTCGAACCACGAATTCTGTAACACCCCAATTCTTGATTTATCGAATTATTTAAATTATTATAATTTGATTTAATTATTAAGTGTGATAATTGAATTAATATGGTTATGTGTTGTTGGGTGTGGTGGTAATAGTAGGGTGTGGTGAGAAGGTGGAATTCATTAGAAAATAATTAGAATAAGTGGAGTTTTAATTACTATTATTATTAAAATAAGGAATTGGAGAAAGTAGAAAGTTTGGGGTCAAATTGTGAATTATGAGAATAGTGGGGAGGAAGGAGAGAAAAGGTTAGTAAGTGATATAACCCTAATGATATAAATTAGGAGCATAACCTAAGTTAGGAGTTTTATAGTATGTAGAAACTTTGGAAAAAGGAGAGTAGATGCAAAGATACTAGGAACACCAGAGGGAGAAGAACACTAGAGAGAAGAGCATCAACCAAACTAGAATTTTTGTGGCTACTAGGATATCCAGGTAATGGGGAGAATTACCATCAATAAGGACTTATGCATGACGGGTAGAGTAAATGAGTCCTTAACCTCCAATAGGGATGATGATTGTGATGAATTCTATGAATGTTCTTGAGGAGTGATATTCCTTTGATGATATTGATTTGAATTTTGTGTGAATTGATGTTTGAAAAATATGTATTGTGTATATATGTGTGTTTTCCACCATTGTTGTGATGATGTATTATTGATTTAGATGTTAAGAGATGATAAAAATCCATATGTTTTCATGTACAATGATGAATGGTATGTTTTGGGACTATTAGAGGTCAAAACCTGGGGTTTGGGGTTTGATGAATGGCTGAAAAACAAGAGGGTTTTTTTGTCATGGGCTCCCATAGAAAACCTCTAGTTTTATATCAGAAGCGTGCCCAAAAAGGTGATTTTTGGCATGGGGAATGCTACTAGCCGTAGCATGTTCTATGAATGGTCGTAGCAGCTCCCTGGACTCTGTATCATGTGAGATATTTTCGAGCATAACATGAGTTCCATAAGTTAAAATGAGACATCGTTCAAAGCGTTGAGAAGCTAACGCGCTACCTCATGAGACTACTTGTTGAATGTGTTTTATGAGTGCTGGAAATGTTTTGGGATGAAATTCATGACTATTGTTTTGTTGCATGTATGAGTAATAATCTAATTGAGAAGATTGATTGTATACTTGAGTTGCACTGAATTATATGATATTTTGCATATGTGAATTATTGCGGTGTGGTAATCTAGAGAGGGGATTACTCGAGTTTCTAGTGCATTATATTAAGATCAGATATGGGTCTTAACACATTGATTTGATGTGTATAAGTGTGCATCAAAGAGGGGATAATGGCTTATCCCAAGATCAGAGATGGGTCTTATGGGTTCAAAGAGGGGACCCGGTTCCAGAGAGAACCAAATATTGAGTTGGTACCACTTGAATATACATAGAGTTGCATTAGTTGAGTTGCATTACATAATGAGTTATATGCATATTTGTTAAGATGTGATTGGTTGATGGGTATCAGTGTGAGAGTGTATTATGGTATAATGTGTATGAGATTGTGTAAAACATGTTGTGCGTGATATCTTACCTTGCAGTATATGCTTGTTAGTATTATTTGTCATTTCTCACGCCTTTGTTGTTGATGTGGTCTGTGTTCCTCTTCGAAGTACAAATAAGCAGTTAATTGAGTAGATGCTTAGAGTTGGAGGATGGCGAGAGGCTGTTTCTTCCTTTTTTTTCTGTGTTTTATTTTGTGTGTTCTGATATGTAACATTGGGAAACATTTGTGTTTTTTTGTCTAATCTTTTGTTATAGAGTTATTGTATACTCTCACGTTTGATATTTCTATGTTTTAAGGAGATTTCATTTATGATTTTGATTATGCCATAAAATGCAATTGAAGTTTAAATGATTTTGTTAATGAATGCTTTATTATGAGAATTTATGTTGCAGTGAAACCTAAGTGAAGGTGGGCATGCGATGACACCCTAAGTAAAGGTGGTAATTGTTGTTTTTATTTGATAAAATGTTACAGGGCATGTATGTTTTGAAAAGAGAATATTTTGCATCCTATTTGATTATGTGAATAGTCTGATTTTATCTTATATTTATGCATGAGAAAATAGGGTGCTACAAATTAGAATATCAAGAAAGATTCATGTGCAGTATGACGAGTTCTATGCCTCTTCCTTGTGTGAGGGCAAGTTGTCGCACAATACAGGCCTCCGAGTTTTCGATGATGACAAAACACAACCTTGGACAAATTAGAAGCATCATGCAATACTTCATCATGCCATACCTCTTTTTCATTGTTAAATCATTATACCTTAATATGTGTCTTAACTGAATGTGGCAGGATGCACAAAATGGAAAAAGCTGTTATTTTTGCAGGTTTCTAAGCAGTGAGTCGACCATACAGTCGGCGCATGAAGCCTGGCATTTCTCACGGCTCAGCGCATGGAAGCTATGCGTCGACCGTACAGTCGGCGCATGAGTGTTTTGATTTTCCACGGATCAGCGCATGAAGACATGCGTCGACCATGCCACTCAGCGCATGGAGATGAGGATTCCCCACGGGTCAGCGCACGCCGACCCTATGGTCGACCGTTCGCGCGCTGTGCTGTTTCTCTTGTTGTGTTTAAAATTTTGTTCAGTTGCTGTTTTGGTTATTACTATAAATAGAGTTTTGCTAAATTTTAACAACTAACAATTGAAATCTTGAGTAAATTGTCAGGGCAAGAAACGTGAAATAGGTGCAACATATTTCTTCATCTTCATCCCTCACACAACACACAAATCCACAAATATACACAATCATTTTTGCTGTGATTAGTGTCTTGTTCAAGGGTGATAAGGTTCGAACGCGTTGATTGAAGATCCGGTTCGAGTGGAAATTGGGGCAGGTGTTTCTTGCAGAAAACCTTGAGGGTTTTACCCATCAAGACTAGAAGGTTTTGAGGGCTTTTGCTACGGAATAGTTCGTTCAACATTCAAGCAGGTGTGAAGGTAATTGATCAACGGAAGGTTCATCAGTTTAGTAGCGAGGGCGTTGAAGTGTTGAAGACTTTCCGGGTTTGATTTGTTGGTGTCTAAGATCAGCCGAGCCGAAGGTTTGAACAACAGAAGGTTTTTCATTAAGGTGGCTGGAATCGGAGGTCATTCACAACAAGTTGAAGGGCTTGATTCATCTTGAATCAAGGTGCAAGAAGTGATAGCAAGCATCAACAACATTTGAGATTGTTTGTATCATTGTCTATCAACTCTTGTGTAAACTGTTCATTCCAACAGGTGATATATATTCAATATATCTCAATTCTAATTTTAGAATTGAGGGCAGACGTACCCCGAAGCGAGGACGACGGGGGAACTGCCTCATCAAATCGTGTGTTCTTCATTTTCTGTCATTTTCAATTCAGCTTATAAAATAAGTGATTCTAGCTTAAGTGATTATTGTCAAACTGTGATACAAATTGAGTAAGGTGTTGAAACTCTGTTTTTAACTACTAAGTACAATAAAAATATTGTACTAAGGCATTTCCAATCCCTTACTCAACATAAATATCCTTTGAGATATTTGTGCACACAAACTGTTCGACAAAAGTCCTGAACTAAAATTGTCTTATTTTGCTTCTAGTTTTTGTGTGTCTAGTTAATCATTGGAACTAGGTAACCTTGCAAATTGAAGTAAACAATTGATAAGCATAGTTTGTGTTGTGATTTTATTTTTCCGAATTGTCATAAATCCATAGGCTTACGTATATCCGGTTTTCCAATAACCGTTC